TACGAAATAGTTGTGGACTCCGCATAGCCTAGCACTACATTGCAGCCCAGCGAACGGGCATGCGATCGGATCTCCATGCGCAGCTCTGTCCACCAACTGTCGCGCACCTCTGGCTCATCCGGATTGGGCACTCGCTCCAATAGTTTCACAGAACGTGCGGCGACCGTAGCACCCAGATGAAGAATAAAGCCCGTGGGGTACTTTGTCATGGTCAGGAAGGGATATTCCAACATGTCTATACTGTCGGCCGCTGTTCCTGGTTTGGCTCCCACTGGCGGCTGTGTTAAACGCATCATAGCCGTGGCGGCCACCAAACGCTCACTGGCCACACAAATTGAGTTTCCTGCGAAATTAGAAGATATAGAAATATTAAATGCATTTTACAGACATGGTTACTTATGGGTCTTACACATAGTGAATACATTTATATTTACAGCGGAATGTCTTAAGCCAGAATATACATAAATAATTTGGAATTTGGCAATTAATGAAAATGATTTTTACATTTAATTTCCTGATATAGTCTAAAAATATGTCAGTAAATGGATGGTGTTGATTTGAAATTAAATTTACCGATTGTGTAGAAACCCCTAATACTTTTGAAATTATCAAATCAAATGAAAACCTATTGATTGAGACCTCAGTTTAGATCAAGTCTAACACACGTTATGATAGTGTAGTGGAACATTTAAGGATAGATCAGTTCGGATGAGGCATTCGCAAGAAATAGTGTGGGAAAGACTTGGCGATACAGAACAGCAATCACCCGCCAAAAGTGCGGGCGAGGTGAAGAAACAGAGAGGAGCACGCACAGATACACAGAGGTACATCGAGAAAGGACACCGAGATTAGGCGGAGCATCTACTTACGCTTCCGGTGGAATGTAAAGGCTATGCCTGATGGCGAGATGCGGCAGCGGACGCAAAGATAGAACGTTGGAAGAGACGTTTACGGTTACTCAGAGACGAGAGACGGTGAGAAAAAGACACACGGAGACAGCGAAACACACAAATATTGAACAGCAACTGGTGCTTAGATGGTTAGAGCCTAAGGCCTTATCCTAGATCTTAACTAGCGGGATCGGAGATCCCTAAGCAGCCCTGATCCCGTATTCAAGTCCAAAAATTTTTTGATTTTTTTCCAAATTAGATTTCTCTGAATTTCTGGAGTTGGCCCATGAATTTGGAATCAGGGCTGCCAAGCCTTGAAATGTCCGCTTACATACCTTTGGGCGTGACACTTAGGTCGGAGTCGGAGGATCTACGGCAGATCTCGCCGACGGTGACCGGCACCATGGTCGTGGCCGTCGAGGCGGTAGAAGTGGAGGCGCTATCCGCATTCGTGGTCGCCGAGATGCCGCTCTTTGAGGGACTAGGCGTCAACTTAAGACGACTGCTGCTCACCGGCGAGGCGAACCGCTTCAAATTGGGACTGCTGCCCTCCACAGTTGTGGGTATATTTGACGGTCCACTGCTTCCGGCTACGCCTGTTGAACCTGGCTGCTGTTGGAGTTCAGTGCTGGATCTAAATTCGCGTGGTTGTTGTTGTTGTCGAATGGCAAATGGAGCAAGCAATGATGACTCATTATTGTGGTTACTATGGTTAGTACTATTAGAGATATTTACAGATTGATCTATTTGGTCAAGGCAGGGGGGGTTATAGTAATCAAAGGTAAAATGGTCGGATTGGGTGGGAGTAGGTGTCGAGGGGCAGACGCGCAGCTCGGGCGCCTTCAGCAGCAACGTATTGGGCGGTACGAGAGTTTCGGGTGCCATCAAATGATTTAACGAGGCACTGCGCTGCAAGGTCTTCTCGTAACTGGGAAGTACGTTCAATTGCAGCATGGACGAGGATCCACTGAGATTCGAACCCAGCCAGTCATCGGAGCAGGTGGGCAACTCCGGTTGTGAGCTGTAGTATGGCTTGCGTTCCAACGAGGGCACAAACGGCAGCTTTGGTCTCTTTTCCAGTTCGCTACTCTTGGGACTCAGATGCATCAGCTTTTGCAGCCGACGTGAGAAGCCTTTGAGGTCCTCAAGCAGATTGTGATGCCTGGGTCCCAAATCTTGCTGGCTGTTTTCACAGCTACGTGTCTCTCCTGGCTTAATCCAATTATCCTGTAGATTCTCCTCCTCGTCAGGGGACTCGTCCACGTTGCTATCGGGCGCACCTATTTCCAGATCCAACTGTAGAGACTCTTCTGAATCAGTTGAGTAATTGGATGATGGCCGAGTCTTGGCCTGAAACTCATCTCCTGGTAAATCAGGCGCCGAACGAGTGTTCTCCTGGTATTCCGACAAACCGGGCACTGTGAGAAAACTTTTGTCAGGCATACGACCAGGACGAACGTCCGCATCGCTACTGATGGAACGCGTTATAAACGGGGGAATAGATGACTTCAATGTCGAAGCGTTAAAGCGAGACTTGCGCCGGCGCCTAAAACTTGAAGTGGCAGCCGCAGCTCCTCCAAAGATGCTGCTTAACGATTGCGTAGCATTCTCCGGGATCTTCGGCTCAATCCGACGTATAAGCGTGGCATACTTCTGAGTAAAAACCTTACTCGAGGAGAGGGTTAGACGGCGCATGCGGTGTCGTAGCTTCTTCTCGCGACTTCGATCGCCACGCTCGTCTTCCTGTCGTATGAGATCCTGCATCAGTTCTGCATCCTCGGTGTCGCTGCTGGCACTCTCCAGGTAGAACAACGTTGCTGCTGCGCCGCTGCTGCAGACGAAGGCGCCGACGAGCTGGGCTCCCTATATATATTAAGACGATATTGGGGCGTGCGGCCGGAAAGCGGCAGACTTGCGCTGCTGGCCCCCGCACAGTTGAGGAAGTCTAGATACTTTTGTGTCAGTCTAGCCGTTTTCGGGGAAGGTGATACGGTACGTAAATGTTTTATAAACACAAACACGACACAACAACGAAACAACAACGATTGAAACGTGCAATACGATACGACAAGGAGCGAAAGTAGAGATATCGAGGGATGAACATCGTCGGAGAGATTTCGGTGTGGGGTGGAGAACGTTCAAGAGAAGAAAGAAATTGCTTTAGAACATGTTTAAATTGGCTTTCTACTAGCACCTACATTCGGCTACGGATGCTAAACCAAGACTTTTTACAAACAGGGGCAGGTTGGCTTCGGGTACCGAAGTTTCAAATACTCTTGCAAACTACAGTTTTTCATATGATAAGAAATAATGGAAAAGTATCTTAATATATAAGGGAGATACAATATACCATATTTTCATGATTATTATTAGACGGTGCCATTTAAATATATTAGCCTTATGTAATATGTGTAATACAGACAAACAGAGCATGACTAATTTTCTGCAAGAGTATGGTAATTCGCTAAATAAGTAATAATTATGATCATTGATGGCCCTTAGTGCAAAAACACTCACTCTTCGATTAGAGCCACATCCGCGCTGTTTGGCTGACTGGTGCTGGTGTCCTTGATCAGCGTGACCGCCGTTCCGATGCCTCGAGCCACCACACCCACATCGCCCTCCAGATCGAAGCACTGGGTATAGCCGATGACGGCATTAGCGCCCATATTTATGGCCTTCAGCCCATTCGCCTCTGCACCTGGCCCGATAACTTGAGGAATACTACCTGTCGGGCCTCGTTGGAAGCACGGGGAGTTCGAATTTTGTCTATCCACTGGTACTCCGGATCGTCATTGACGACGAGTTCCTCAACAAAGCCGTGGATCACCTGGGCGCGGTAGCCAAAGGGCACACACTGGGCTGTGGAAGAAATATAGATATTAAGAGCTTTCTTGGGATGATGTAACGAACTGATCCTGGTTTAATAAAGCAGATTAGCTTAAAGACCGGATAGAGGCTTTCAGAAAAACAACATACAGTGGAAGAAGGGGATGCCGCAGGAACTCTGCCGAAACTTATTGACGTCCGAGAAAGATCCACCTTGACGATCACGTTAATCTCGCCGCGGATGCCGTGCATCGTGTCGAAGACCGGAATCCAGCCGGAGAGCACGGTGCCCTTGCCGTGCACTGCCTGACTAGAGCTCTCCAGGCACAGGGGATTCAAGCTAATGTTGACCTTGCCGATGGCATCGTTGGCGGAGTAGGTGTCGTAGTCCATCAAGCGGATTTGCAGGGCTCGTCCTGCAGCTCGGCATCGTCCACCTCGAAGCGGAACCTGTCGGTAAAGGGTTACAATATGAAGAGCTAATTAGTTAAAACTTCACCAGTCGGTGTTCCAAGTGGGATTCAAACTCTTGCGGAACACATCCGTCTTGTGGGTCACCGAGGCCAGTTTGATCTCCACGAAGGCGTCCGTGGTCTCGCTACTCTTGTCCATCACGGGCAGGTTGCGCGCCGCCTTGATCTTCACTCCCACCTTGCCCGGCATCCTGTCTCTTTCGCCTGTCGCCCCTTTTCACCAGATACCAGATTGTAACCACTGAATTTCGACCAGAAGGATTCACGTTTTATCTTCTGTTTTCCATTTTCCCAGTTCTCAGTGTGACCGCAGTGGGGGAGTAGCGAAATCCAGATATCAATCTTTGGGGTGGGAAGGGATTACCTTTGTTTTGTGCTAATATAAATGAAAGTGGGGGTGTTACACAAATCAAAGGCTTATGAGAACTTAGTTGTTTAAAATTAACTAATAACCTACTGAGAAAGGTAAATACAGCTGAAATTAACTTTAAAGTGGTGATCAGTTCTGCCAACTTGTAACTTTTCTTCCTTTTAGAGTTGGCTATATTTGGGAATTAGCTATCGGAATCTAGCTTTAATTATTTGAAAGATGTACATATGATTGTCTTTTATGCCTCTATTATCCAATAATATCGATCGATATTTTCTTGATGTTTAGAGTGGCAGCTTGATCCATTCATATTGAATTTAGAAAGTGAAATGTTTTCATCTGATAACTAAGAGCAGATGTTCAAATATAGCTATTTATAGCCAAATATAACGAACGGCGACAACCCTGCTTAAGAATGCGGTGACGAGTGGGCAGCGCTGCAACAAAAATCAATAGTCGCCGCCATATTTTTTCACTCAACGCAGACCAACGCGCTCCGGACACCCGAAAAATGTTTAGATAAATAAGTTAATTAAGATAAGTCATAGTTGAAAGTGCATTGATTAGAGCAGTGAGCAAGTGACCAGTGACCATCGACAGCATCGATTCCCCGTCGCCAGCAAATATCGCACGACTCTCCGGCATCCGAGCGCTGCTTCTTCTTCCCCGGGCTCCTGCAGTCCCAAAATCCGCGTCTGATTTAAAAGAGTCTCAGTGCCAGTGGTAGTGCGTGTGTTCCAGAGTGCTTAGTCAGTCAGCGAGGATCATGGAAGGAGCTTCAGTGTCCTCGCCATCGATGGGCGGCCCACGTGGTGGCGGCTTCCGCGGACGCGGTGGTGGAGCACCTATGCGCGGTGGCTTTGATCGCGGCGTGGTCGTGGTGGTCGCGGACATTTCATGGGTGGCATGCGCGGAGGCGGCGGCAGCGGGATGGGCGGGGGACCGCCAATGCAAGGCATGATGTCGGGTCCTCCGCGGGGTATGCGAGGTTCCCGCGGCGGAATGGGCTACCAGGGACGCGGCGGTGGCTATCAGCCACGCGGTGGAGCCCCCATGGGCATGCGAGGCGGTCGTCCGCCCTTGTACTCCCAACGTAAGTTCACCAGCCAACCCCTGACTCCCAACCGAACCTGTAAATTCAATCCAATCCAATCTAGCTCCCAAACAACACACAGGTGCCGACAATAACAAACCGTGTCGCCAGTGCCGACTTCGGCGATCAGTGGAGAACAGCCAGCGGTTGAGCCAGCCGGCGACGATGCCACCGATGGCCAGACCTCGTCGGTCGCTCCCTCGAGCAACTCGCATGGCGGCAGCTCCGCCCCAGGTGGCAGCAATGGCGGCGGACCTCCTCCGTATCTGGGCCGTGGGCGGGGACGCGGCGGTCCCTTCAGCGGACGCGGACGAGGTGGCGGCGGCTACAACTCGCACATGAACGGCAGTGGCGGCGGAGGCAGCATGTACGGCGGCTCCCACAGCCACCACAGCAACTCCATGGGCGGCGGTCCGGGCGGAGAGCATGGCTCGATGCCCAGACGCGGAGCCCCGCGCGGCAGGGGCGGCTACAATCAAGGTATGAGTCGGCCACCCTTGCATCATCATCAGGCACATAATCCCAATACACAACTCGCACCGGTACCAGCTCTCAAACGCGGCGCTCCCGGTGGTCCTGGTCCCAAGCGCGGTCGCTACGAGGGCGGTCCCTACGGCCAACGGCCCATGACGCCCAAGTACCACTCCACCCAGCAGCATATGGGTGGCGGCGGAGGCGGCGGCATGTCCTCACAGTCGTCATATGGCTCGCCGCCAAGTCACCATGCGCCAGCGCAGAGGTAAGACGTCGATAAGTCGTGCATATAATAGCAATAGTATGTTGGAAAGCCATTTAAAGATTTGATTTATACTGGGTTTATATAACCCATAAGATGTAGTTTTATTCAAAAAAGTCGGAGTAATCCATTGAGAATGTTTCTAACACAATTGCAACTCTAAATGCCTGACTATTTAGCTTAAAGACTAACGTACCCATTTTCGATACAGTCACCATAGCTACCAGACCCACGACCAACCCAGCAAGTGGATCCCTATGCGCAGAGCGGCTACAGCACCCAGACCACTCAGCAGGGATACAATGGCTATGGCCAGAGCGGCGGCAGCAGCTATGCGGCTCACACATCGCAGACAAGTGCTCCGGCCAGCAGTAGCTACGCGGCCCACCACGGCACTGAGTACGATCAGAGCCAGTATCAGAACTACAAGTGGGTTACCTACTCTTGACTCCCTTTCCTTCCCTCCTTTTGGACCGACCAGGTGCTAATGTAACGCTTTGTGTTTCCCAGCAGCTCGACGGGCTATGCTGCTCCGCAGGACACGCGGTACCAGTCGTACAGCCAGGACTACAGCCAGCAGTATGGCTCGACCGCCGTAGACTACAATGCCGCCGGGCAAGCGGACTACAGCCAGCATGGACAGCAGAGCACTGGCTACGATGAACGTGCCTATGCGGGTTATGGTAGGTGATTTCAGTGCCCTCCAGTTGCGTCATCCGTCATCGGTCATCGTCTTCTTGCAGATTCGCAGGCCTACTCGCAGAACTATTCGAATGCAGCCGCCTACTACTAGACAACCGCTTCCCACTCCCACCCCTGACGGCACACTAGAGATCAGAACGCTGCGCGTGCTCCGATAGGCCAAGAAACCAAATAAAAAGGGATTAGGGCAGAAAGAAATCGAGTAACAGGAAGGGAATATATGTTTAATGCAGCAAATAACTTGCAATACATTTGATACACAACACACACACGCGGTCACTCAGAACATACAATTTTAGTAGTAAGGATACAGTTCTCTTTTTCTTAGCATTTAAGCCAACTCGTGTTTCGACGTCTTTCTATATAAACCCCTTGCCCAAATTAATTTTTCCTCACTTGTTTTCGTTTTGTCTCCCTTTGAATCCTGAACAGAAATATTGAAAATACCCGCCTTGCCTGTTGTTTAATGTTTTCTTTATAGACAAACGGAGCTAGCCTGCACTGAGCTCCAGCCTAAAAAATGATTATGTGCTCCTCCTTAGTTCATTTACAATTACAATTCAACTGTGACCAAAGTATGCTAAAAATCATATTTTTATATGACGGGAAACTACGAGTACGTACATGATCTTCTTAATGAACTAAACTAAATTTAAACATTTTGTGAATCATGTCAAATTGTATACAAATGAATGCAATGTATATTTTAGTTATTAAGCTCAAAACCGCAAACGACTCTCGACAGTGAAAGTTGATTTTCAATCCCATATACTCCTGAAAAGCGTTTATGATTTTGCAAGAATGTGTTTTTTCTTTACCATCTTGACGTGAATGACAGAAGCCAGACTTATTATTTTCTTTTTGTTTTACAAAAACTCTTATAGCCACAATTTAAGCAAAAAAGTTCGTAATTATGTAACTCCTTTAAATTAAGCTGAGAAAACCAAGTAACGAAATACACAAAATATATTAGCAAAAGATGCAAAAATCATAACCATTATCAAAGTCAATAAAATAATGTTCAAAAATGTGTTTAATGCATTAAAATTATTTAAGCGTACCTATTATTATTTAAAATATTTTGTTTAAAAAAATCAATCAGTAAAAATGCAAATAATTAAGCAAAGCTATCAATCAAAAATCGTATGAGTGAAAAATATGAAAATCAAAAGACTGAATATATTCACGAACCGAAGCAGCACAGCAAGCATAAAATCATGAAATATGAGAGACAAATGAATGAAACAAAGTATTAAGTATTTACGAAATGATTACAAAGTCAACAAATGCAAAGAACAATTAAACGCCAAGCAATTATACAAGTGCCAATATACCTGAGTCACCACACTCAGGATAAATCTTAAAAAAAAGAATTACAAAAAATACTATGACGAAACACGTTTCGAAATTTCCAGGACATCAGTCAATCGAATTTTAAGATAGTGTCGCGAAATTATTATCGAGAATGTTTACAATGATTGACAATTAGATAATTATCTAAAATGGCAAAATGAAAGCACTGAAAGTACAAAAAAAAACATATACAATTTTTAAACATATTTTGGTAAGTTAAGGTCAAAGCCAAAAAATATACATATATAACAAATTTAAGCATATGTTGAACTCAGCACGACAAATGTTGGAAATAATAACATTAATTATAATTGTCCGATAAAAATTATACAGTCGAATCTCTGTAGTTTTAATGAGATTACAAAATAATATTATAATATTAAATAGCTGTGAGTTCTTCATATAAACAAGTTCGGCTCTTTTGCCGCATTTTCCATATAAATAGTAGCATTTAGATTTTTTTACAGGAATGAAAAATCAAAGTTAAACAAAATGATAGCGTTACAACGCTTATCAAATCTGAAGGAAACGAACTAAAAAGGATATGTCAATGGTGGTAATCTCAAAACAAACAACACAAAATACCAAGTAAAAATACAATGAAACCAAAGAGATTATGAATCTATGAAATATTTTGTTTTAAATGTTGCACTTTTATGTTAATTATATATTTTCGTTTATGTACAAAATGATTTTATTTGTTATAGTTAAGACGAATCAAATACCTTAATTGCAGTCTTATAAAGACAAAGCTATGATAATATAAAAATGAATATTTATTAAAAAGACTGAATGACATTTCAACGAGATTAAATCTCTATAGATCCAAGAAAGAACTGAAAACAAAATCAATAAATTATTACATAAAATTAATATGGACCCCGATCCAAATGATATAATGCCTTAAGAAACTTTAGTTTTGAATTTCCTAATTATTTGTTATTCAACAGTTAACTAATATTTTCGAAAAAGCTAATACAAATTTTGCCACAGAAAAAATGTGTTTACAAGAAACACCCATTTTCCAATAAAAATGGAAAACAGACCGATTCAAATTAATGAAATCAGAAAATCTAGGTACAAGCATAAAACAATATGTAAAAAGATCAGACAAAAAAATCATTTGTAAATGGCATATATTTTTTAATTTACAAGCTTTGGCATTTTAAGAATATGCATAGAAATCAGATAACTGCATTATTTCACGTTTTTGTGTCAATTTGATTTACAATATTCTATTATTTGTTTAGTTTTTTATTGATTTAATAAAAACGTTAAAAATGGCAAACCTCATTTAATCCAAACATGCAATTAAATGGTAACTTTTAACTTTTTCAGCCAAAGCAAATTTTTGAAAATCAAAATATATCCCAATGGAACGAAAGAATCTGCGCACTGTGGAGCCCATTGACCAATATGCTTTCACAAAATATATTTCTTCTGGTTATCAGGAGCATACAGTGGGAAAATCGTTTGATGAAGTTTACAAAAACTTCCAGAAAAAACAAGAGATAAAGAAAAAGACAAAGAAATATTTAAAATATATAATAAGATGCATATTTATTTTACGAATCGAATGTAAGATTTTAGATTAATGGAATTTTTTACATAACTCCCGACTAAAATTTTCAATTTTCGACGTTTATCAGTTAAAAGAAGAATAAATAATCAGTAATTGAAATTTTTTGTTTTAAAAGTTTAAAAAATCCATAATAGATTTGCAGACAACAAATCAGAGGTTAATATGAAAATACAGATCGTATTTGTTTAAGTGATATCTTCATCAATTACAAAAAGATAAGGAAACAATTTGAATTTTTTTATAGTGTTCAGTAGAAGATAGACCAAGTCGAACCAAGTAATTTTTCAAGAGTATTTTGTTAGAAAGTTTTTAAATACAAGGAACCCTGAAAACCCTAATAAACTGAAATGTAAAAAATATATTTAACGTTTTTTATTCTTTTTATGCGAAATTTAAGGTCAAGGTAAGTGTTTTTAAATGTTCCTATAAATAACTTGTAAAATGTCAATTAATAAATAAAACAAAACCCTTGTAAGATTAATCTTAACTCTTTGGTATCCCAATAAACCCTACTAAAAATAAACCAATTTCAATTGCATTTTGTCATGCATTCACATATTGAGAGGAAAAGTTTGTCTTTATTAACATAAATATCAGAAATTATAGGTCGAATTCAAAAACATTTGTTGGTTATTTAATAATAGTGCTTCATGCTAGGGAAATATGTGTGAGATATTTTAACTGTAGCAAATACGTATTATAAGTTTTAATAACATTAATAAAATCCTCAATGGGAAAAGAAAAACCTAAAATTGAATTAAAACCAAGGGAACAACTTTCAGAACGTTTCGGGGGTCTTTGAGTATGTACAAATATGTATTCGATTTTTTTTATAGAAACATTGGACACATCGATTTGCTATTTAATGAACTAGAGAGCTTCCAATTGAGTAAAGTTCTGAGTTTCCATTGATTACGTTTACATAATTATGCTGAAAACGTCAAAATAGTGCTGTGCTTTGTGCTAATAGAAACGATTCCGCCGCTTGTGGTCAAGGTCCAGTGTCGTGGTCTCAAGTCGGGATCAAATGGGGTTGGTGGTGTCCTCTAAGCTGGAGTCCTTAACGACGCTTGCCGAACCGCAGGAAAACGTGATCAACATCCGTACGTTTGTTGTAGTTCTTCAAAAGGTCATCGGAGTTGGCCACCAAAGCTGGAATATTATATATTTATAATGTAAGATGGCAAAGTGAGAGGATATTACTGGCATTTTCATTGTAATATAGTTTATATATTTTTAAAAATTCGATGTCAACTTACCAGATGCCTCATTGTTGATGTAGGACTTGAGGGCCGACGACAGTTGATCAGAGTTCTCCAGGGCCTGGCACACCTTTCGGATGTGCGGAGGCATCTCCTCGACGATGCCGGTCTGGCACAGAGGAGGTCCCTGGACGGCGGCCCCGGTACTGGACACGGCCAAGAGGACGAGGGCCAGGCAGCAGGCGACAAGGAACTGAGCGAAGGACATGCTACAAGTGGGTTTGCAAAGAACAAGATTGACATCGTTAGCTGGTGTCGCTCTTATTAGATTATCGCCAGCAAAGGTTGTTCTGCAAGGACATCCTGGCTGCAGGGCGACTTAGCCTTATCCCTACACCCCCACACACCCATCCAACCCCACTGATTTTGATTAAGTGTAACGATCTTAATGCTACGTGCCTGATTGCCACTCGCTGATGATGATGTCGTCGCCATGGCAAAGTATTATGCATAAATGGAGTTGTACTTGGTATCAGGCTCGCGGCGGAGCTTTCATTTTGCATCGCAGCCAAGCAGGCGTCTTAACGCTACCCTAATATATTTACGCGAAAGACAATTTGTTTCTATTAGCTGAGATGGGCTGAGCAACAAAGGCAATCTGTTCTGCGTCACCGCCCCTCGATGGTGATTACGATGATGGAAGTGGAGGCAGCACTCATACGCCCCGTGTTGCAGTTGGCATGCAAACACCTGTGCGAACGTGTTGCTCCCGCATCTATTTAGCTTAGGAAACGAACCCCAGAAATCGGGAGGCAGGCAGTGCCAAATGGGGAATGACCATAGGGCACGTTCCAAGGATCCAAACTGCTGTTGCTTGTTTAGGGCTCACGCATGCAAATCAATTGCATGTGTTTGCTTTCTAAACGGACACTTATTATTACGCAACAGTTGGAGGCCTTAACTATTTAAATGAATAGAAATCAAAAATTCCTATATTTTTAGTTCTAAAAATTAAAAACCAAATCGTTTTATAATTAGGTCCTCAACAATATTTTCTAGAAAGCACTGCCTAAAAATGTTGTACTAAGGTAAATGAATTTATCATGCGACATCCAAATGAGGAAACTTAGGAAAATGAAATTATCTTTACTCTAAAGTCTTAAGAAAATTAAAATTTAATTATATTTTTTAAGGATATACACTGCTACAACTATATCAAATCAATTTTTTGTAACTTTTTAGCAAAAATATAAGTCTTAAAACTAAAAAATTTACTTGTAGTGTAAACTAATATATTTATCTCTACTTTAGAGGTAGTGTTAAACTTTAAAATTTCTAAGAGTTTTTCAGTGTCCTAAGGATCTAAACATAACTTTCACAGTTTTAAAGAAAATCCTTGTATTCACTTTAATCAGTTAACCTTCTCCAAAACTATCCAAAACATTGAATGTCTCAAGACACAAATACCCACCTGATGAGGGCTTTGAGATTTGGGTGTTTCCACAAAAAGAGAACTTGAATTATGAACTTGATAGTTTTTGTCACTGGCTCAGTTGCTGCTCCGTTTGCTGGACTTGTTGAACGCAAGCACTCGAATGATGTCCTGTCCAGCCAGGACATCCGCTTTTATTTACTTCCGCCGAGGACGAGCGCAGATGGCGCCGTGGCCTGTGATTGGCTGACGGGAAGTACACAGGCATACAGGAGCTGGAATACAGGGGACGGGGGACCACATGTTGCGCTCCTTGCAGAATAATTGGTGGGCGTGCTCAAACATCACTCATACGCCACCGACACCGACCAGAGCACGATGTGTGCACTTGGCAAACTTTCAACGGCAAGGGAAGAAACGAAACCCCCCGAGTTGCCCAATATGTTTATCTATTATATAAGTTTATCAGCTCTTAATTATGTTGTAAAAGTGGTCGCCTTTATGATCAGTGGCCGGCAAACCATCACCTATTTATGGGTAGTTATAATCATTTATGACCATCATCGAACGTTTACTTTCCAACCACGGCTCCACTTTAAGCCCAACTTTAAAGCCGAAGTCCTGGTTACTGCATTCTGGTCCATTCGAATGCGTAAGCAGAGTAATCTTCGGTTTATGAGACTGGGATTTGCAGGCGAAGCGTTGCAATTAATTTGAATTTGTGCGTGTTTCGCATGCAAAATTCCTCTATAAGAATTTCGACTGTGACGTCAGACCCTCATCCTTAGAGGGCCAAGCCAGGATGCAGATAAAAACACGGCTAAATCTGTGAAAATTCGAATTAACCCAGAAGAAAATCTAATTCGTTCGCCTTTTATGACGTTAGCGTGACTAATGAAGCCAGAGAGAAGAAATAAAGAAAAGCATTTCTTTGCTGTCTAACCCCGACATCTACGAGTATCTTTAAAATAATATAAAAAACTAAAGATATGAAAGAGATATTGATTTAAAAATTCTAAAAAATTAAAAATCATTGTTCACCACTATAGGAAAATATTGGAAGGAACCTTTAATACTTAAGTTTTCCTTATCTAAGTGCCCCTTAAATTTTCCTTCCTAAAAGTAATGTTTTTGTCCCTAATTGAATAAGATAGCATAAGATGTAGAGCTATAAGTTTCATAACACCATATGCAGCACTTTTGACCAACCATCCCATTTAAGCCCGTGTCCAAGAACCCACCCACTAATTGGGTTACGGTTAGCTGCCATTTGCTGTCATTCTTGATGTGCAAAAATCAGGCCAAATAATGCAATGCCAGTTCCATATGTGAGCAAAAAAAATAGAGGGGTTGGTTATACAGAAACCTACACTTGTTTTGCCCAACAATGTCTCGCGAAATTTGCACAAAATTTGAATAAACTGATTGAGTTTCAGTTGAACATACAGCACACACGTAATAGTGCGCCAGTGAGGCAGAATTGTATAGGCGAATAGTCACTTCGATTAATATTTAAATTATGTTCGCCATTTTGCGGCCTACGCAAATAAACGGAGGAAAAACCCCAGCCAAACTTGCTTTAATTTTATTTTCATCTTTTTGATAGTCGTACAAGCTAAGGAGAAAGTTGAGGATAGTTGAGGGTTGCTAGAACCCCTCAGTCGAGTAACTTGGCCACAATCGGTTCCGGAGCGGACATGGCATAGCCCAGTTGATTTAGGGCCCTTCGGATCTCCACAAAAACGCTGGCATCATCGATGGTCGCTGGAGGACAACGCGCTCATTCCGGGCAAAATCCGCCATGGCCTTTCGCATCGTCTTTCCGGATCGAGTACGTGGCAGGTTATTCACGGACGTGATCAGCCGGAAGGCGGCAATGGGCCCAACCACATCCCTGATCAACTTGATGATCTCCGTGGACAGCTTGGCATCCGTCTTCTTGCAGTTCTCCACTGGAATGTACAGGCACAGCGGCACCTGGCCTTTGGTGGCCTCTGGAACCCCAAAAACAGCCACATCCACCACGTCCGGATGACGGAGCACAGCGTCTTCTAGACTAGAGGTGGACAACCGATGGCCAGCTACATTTATCACATCATCGTCGCGGGCCGTCACAAAGATATACCCACGCTCGTCCTTGTAACCGGCATCCATGGTATCGTAATAGCCCTAAGTTTACGGAATTTAGTTAATAGTATTCACTTGAAAAGGAGCTTGAATGTACTTGTATTATTTAATAAGACTTTCAGGAATTTCAAAAATATGAAGTTGAAAGGAATTGAGTCTAATTTTAGAACTCATTTTAGAAATATTTTCTCAAGAAAGAAGTAAAAAAGTGCTTAGAGCTTAAAATAACTTAATCGTCTGCTTTTCATATTAATTAAGGATTTGCTTCTTTAATATGAATCTTAGGTACTTAGTTTTGATATTAAAGATGTTTTAGATTTATATATATTTTTTTAAAGAATTAACAACACGACTCACGGGAAACTTTTGAAAGTACAGCTTGCGGAAGAGGTCTTCGTTTTTATAGAGGGTGGCCATATTTCCGGGTGGTAGGGGTAGCTTCAGGGCAATCCTGCCCAGTTCCGAGGTCTGCGCCTCGGTGCCGTCCGCCTTTAGGATTTTGACTGCAAGAGAGATGTCCCAGGACTTAAATCCTCACTTTTCCCAGCCATCTGGAGCATCACTCACCTTCGTAACCCATGAGGGGCAGTCCTGTGGTGTAGGCGGGTGGACTAAGGTTCTGGTGGAAGCCCAGGCAGGTGGCGGTCACCGCGGAGCCCGTCTCTGTCTGCCACCAGTGGTTAAGCACCGGCACCTTGAAGGTCTTCTCGATCCAGGACTTGGTCTCGTAGTCGCAATGCTCGCCGGCAATGAAGATGGCGCGCAGGGACTTCATGGAGTACTGACGTCCATAGCTTATGTCCGGATCAGCACGACGGATTACCCGGAAAGAGGTGGGCACTGAAAAGATTGAGCGCACCTGGTACTGGTCGATAATCCTGTGAGGTTAGTAGATAAATCAGTAGAGGTAAAATATATCATATGAGGTTCACACTCACCTGAAGTACTGACCCGGATCCGGGGTGCGATCAGGTTTGCCCTCGTACATGACACTGGTGGCTCCCAAGCAGAGTGGACCGTAGCAAATGTACGAGTGACCCACCACCCAGCCCATATCCGAGGCCGCCCACCAGGTGTCGCCGGGGCCAATCCCATAGAGAGTTCGCAGCGTGTACATCAGTGCCACCAGATGACCACCGATGGTGCGGAGTACTCCTTTGGGCTTATCCGTCGTTCCGGAGGTGTACAGGATATACAGCGGATCGTTGGCTTCGATGGGAACGCAGGCTATGGGCTGCTCACCCTCCGACATCTTTAGGACATCCGACCAGAGCACATCCGTCTGCGGATCCAGTTTGGTGGTGTCCGGCGTGACATTGTCACGATGGAAAATGATATTCCGTTGGGTGGCCGCCAACGCGACATGTTGATGGCCGAGTGCAGGATGTCCAGGTAGGGCACCACCTTGCCCGGCTCCACGCCCACATTGGAGGCGATCACTAGCTTTGGCTCCACGTGCTCAATCCGCGAGCAGAGTTCCCGGGCGGCGAAGCCACCGAAGACCACCGAGTGAATGGCTCCAAGGCGAACAATCGCCAACATGGCAATGATGGTCTCTGGGATTAGGGGCATGTAGATCACCACGCGATCGCCCTTGACCACCCCCATTTTGGCAAGACCGCCGGCCAGCAGGATGATCTGATCGTACAGCTCCTGATAGGTCACCCGGCGCACCGTTCCCGTCAGCGGACTGTCGTGGATTAGGGCCACCTTGGCACCGCGCCCCGCCAGAATGTGCCGATCGATGGAGTTGTAGCAGGCATTCAGATAGCCCCCCACATACCACTTGGTGAAGGGCGGATTGCTGTTGTCCAGCACCTTCTGCCACGGTCGATCCCAGTCGAGCAGGTGGGCCTGCTTCTCCCAAAAGGACACCGGATCCTGGACGCTCTGGCGATAGGCCTCTAAGTACAGAGGATCGTGAGCCTCTACGGGCATGCCGTAAACGGATTCACCTAGGAGAACAAGGTGTTTGGAGCATCAGGTGACCATTCGTCTATGAGTTGATCGCTGCTTTAAATTAGGCTAGCAAACTAAATTACAACACTACCACGCAATATTACCTTACACCAAGACCAAACACCACTCAGTCGCATTGAATTTTAAATTTTCTAAATTTCGCGGTCACTCAACTGATTTCTATATACCCTGTACTACATATATGCACTCCTTATATACGGCCAAGCCAGACGCCGAGCATAATCTACACGTCATTGTCGCTGGCCGTTGGACCCTAAAGCCTCCGTCTTGCATAGGCTAATCGAAATCATTAATATTTAGTGGTAACAGTTTCGGCACAAAACTAAACTCTAATTGATCACAACAAAGTCGCATCGAAAGTTCATTATTCAAATGGATAATCTACACAATGCCCTTTACAGAACTAAAAAGTTCCATAGAATCTATTATATCCTATACCATAATATAGGATTGTTAATTAACATATCTGTTAAAAACACATTATTTTAATATTCTCAGTTTTCGAATCCTATGTATTCTGAACTTCATTTTCCTGATGTAGATATATGTCGTATTCCGATCATGCGATTACTCATTTAAAAGTGGCATTGCCTTCTACTTTTCTATATACCGTCACCATTCTTCACTTACAGCCTTCGTAATTCACTGCACTGGGACCGGGCTCCATTTTAATTCCTTATAGTTTTAGTTTATATATATTTAGTCCTAGTCTATAATATAGACTCTATATAAATATTTCTTGCGAGTCCCCTATAAGTTTTTGGATCAAGCACAACCGTCGCACTGTAGTCGAAACTTTGCAATGGGACTGGAGAATGTAGAACGCGAGTTGAAAACCAAAACCTTTAAGAAACACCCGATCAAAGGTTTGCTTTCGAAATTCTCCGAGATTAAGAGAGCCGGAACAGTGGAAAGTGGTTTACAGAAGAGAGTGGAATTATAAAAAATATTTCATTTGTACAAATGATTGTAGTTACATATTTTCTCAGCTTAGTCTAGTTAAACTTAGTTATAAATCCAAAGGATTACTTCTTTTTCTTGTCCTTCTTCGTCTTCTTCGAGGGAGGGGGCGTGGCTACCGCCTGGCCACCAGTCTCATCGGTGGTCGTTTCCACACTGAAGCCCTTAATGTACGGCTTGACTAGCCGGAAGATCAGCTTCTCGTGCTGCACGTTAGTGGAATCCAGGCTGAGTCGAACGGTGACTGGGTCGAAGGAGTGGAACACTACGTTGCCGCAGCGCTGAGTATAATCCTCCTCGTTAAAGGTGAAGACGATCTCGCTCTTGGTGCGCTCCAGACCGTCCTTGCCATCCTTGTCGGACTTCAATACAGGGTGCCTTCCAGACCGTATTTGGGGATCAACACTTGCAGAGCGTTCTTGCGCACAAAAAGCACATATCTGGGAATGGAATTTTTAATAAGAAGTGTGCATAAAGGTTTCGTGACTTACCCTTCCTCGTCCTCCTCCTTGCCACGGAAGAAGAGATGAGTGTTGAGGGCCACCGATGCTCGACCCGCGTACTGAGCCATCTTGTGGCGGTAATTCAAGTTGTGGCAGATCTCCTCTTTGCCTTCCGCTCCAACAGCTGGGCATAGGTGCTATCAGCGCCAATCGAGGCAGCCAACAGGCGATGAACCATGATGTCGGAATAACGACGGATGGGCGAGGTGAAGTGGGTGTAGATGGGAGCGGCCAGGCCGTAGTGGAAGAACTCCTCCTTCTGCAGACTGCCGCTGATAAAGTACACCGCCTGCATCATGCAGCGTGTGGTGAGGATGCGGATCATAGTGTTAAAGTAGGGATTATCCGCCTTAACGCACTTGTCAGCGAGTGAGCCAACTCCAGCCCAGATTCGGTGTCCACCTGGAAACCCTGGTAACGGGCGGCCTTGACCAGCGGATCGAAGTTGCTGGGTGGTGGTCGGGGATGCCGACGCAAAACTGCACACTCGGAGAATTCATTCGCTATGTGCTGGGCCACTGTGATGTTGGCCAACAACATGAACTCCTCCACCATGGAGTTGGTCTCACGCATCTGCTTGACCTCAACCTCAAGCGGTTCGTGTGTCTCGCTGTCCACCTGGAAGCGAATCTCCGGCGAAGCCAGGACCAGGGCACTGCAAGATTGGGATTGAGTGAAATTCGTGCACTAGAAGACTGGAGTAGATGAACTTACCCACTATCCATGCGTCGCTTTTTCAGTATCTTGGCCAGCTTGTTAAGATTTCTCAAGGATTCGCTAGTTCATTCTGCTGCGTGGAGTCGTCGATTATAACCTGTGCCTCCTCGTAAGTCATGGCTCGTTTGGACTTAATGACGCTCTTGTGGAAGCGTTTGTCCAGCACATTCGCTCCTTGTCCAACTCCCACACGCATGAGAAGGCGAAGCGCTCGACGCCGCCTACCAGCGAACACAGGTTCGAGCTGAGCAACTCTGGACCATGTCGATACGTTTCCTACCAGGTAAACAGTGGTACCCCTGGCGCCTGCCTCTTGTCCAGAGCGTTTCCTGGCCGAATGAAGTGACTTACATCGGCGATGTGAACACCCACTTCCAGGTTGCCATTGGGCAGCTCCCTGCAGTGCAGAGCATCATCGATATCCGTGCAGCCAGGCGGATCCACGGAACAGATGTAAAGGTCTCTCAGATCCACACGCTTGGCGTAGTCCTCCTCGGTAATTGTCCAAGGCATTTTCGGCAAGAAGCTGAGAACCTCGTCCGAGAACTTGCAGTGCGGTACATCGTGCTCCAGCAGAATCACCTCGTTCTCGGTGGCCATGTCCCCAAGGGTCCCAGGGAGCGCACAAAGTGTCCGTGTGGATAGCGCGAGTTCCGCGGCCAAGTGTCGATGGTCACAATGATGCGCTGGTTCTGCAGTTTGGCGGCCTGTCTTGTTTCGATGCGAATGCGCGGGATCTTCCGGTCGGCGGGCACAAAGATGTGCCGATTAGTGTCCTCTATTAAACTGGGCTGCAGGATGCCGCAGTACTGCCGCCACTTGCGACGCACAATGCCAACAATTCGTCCCGTGGGCGTGCGTTCAGCTGATGAGGCTGCAGCCCGAACCTGCTTCAACATGTCCTTTTCATCCTCCGCCCTTTCCTCACTGGGCACTTCGTCAGCGTAGACATTCTTCTCCTCCAGCACGATTTCACTGGGCGCAGACCACTCCTCCTCGGGCAGCAGCTCCACGGCCACCAAGTCGCCATCTACAGCTCGGTTGAGGGATTCACGGCCTTGGATTAGGATCTACAATGAGGGAGGTAATGGTTATAAGATGTACTCTAGAAATATATCTTTAACTTACGCCCTTTTCGAACTGCTCTACATTGACGCTGCCCTCTAAGTAATTTTCCCTGGAGGCCTGGAAGGCGCCCTGCAGCAGCTTCTTTTGGCGCAGTCCCTCGAGCAGCTCCTTCATGCTGAGATGCGCCGGATACTGGGGCAGACCCTTCTTCTCGTTCTCGAACGTTTTGTGCGACAGTTTGTCCAACAGAAGAGGGAAATCGTCGAGGGATTTCACATAATCCGCTGCAGAGGCCACCAGAATACCCTCGGCCTCGGCCTTGGCGCGATTCCCAGCATCATCGGTAGCAGGACAACCCGGGTGACAGCTCTCCCATTGCGCTCGAACTCTTTGGGATTGAGAGGCTTGGAGATGATTGTCATACCATTTGGTGGCCAGACGGATGGCCCGATCATTGCGATCGTTAGCTGACTCATCCGGTTCGCGATCTGCATAGGTGTCCCTGGGGAAGAAAGGAATACATATTATAGGGCTATCCGCATCCAACTCCATAAACCTACTTGTGGTGCTCGTTGACGAACACATAGAAGTTCCTGGTGCGATCGTGAACGATTTCATTGAACCGCTTGTAGATGGAGGAGCTCTTGTGCTTGACCTCGTTCAGCACGGTGGTCAGGACGACCACGTTGCGCAGCACATCCTCCTCCAGCACGTCGATCTGGTCCAGAACCACATTGGTGTCCAAAACGAGGTAGTGCGGAAACTTAAAGAGACTGCTCTGGATCTCGTGCCGCGAGTCAAGATGGTAGACCTCGTTCTGGAAGCACTGCCGGCACAGGTCGGAGCCACAGGCGATGTCGTCGCGCAGATAGTGCTCCCGCACGATCTTCAGGATGTTGCCGCGCTTGGTTTTACGCGTAAATTCACGTAAAGTTTGCATTTTGAAGAGAGTTGCTTTCGAATCGAATGCAGCTCCACATGTGTGCCGGAATTGGAATTGGGGGGCCTGTGCACGTTTAAAATACCCTAGGACTGTTCACACTGTGACCGCAATAGCCACAGTCGCTATAGTAAGAAGAAAATGTTTAATGTTTTGTTAACTTATAGCTTAGCTTGCCTTCGATTATACTAACCGTATGAATATTAAATTGCTGTACTTCTTAAAAAACTATTAAAAAGCTCAGTGACATGGTATATTTTGACATCACAGAGCAGATCCAACACATGCATTCCAGTGTGAACGCTACGAAACAACACTCTCCCTGTTTTCAAACCCGTGTGTAAACAAGTGCTTAATGGTTTGAAACTTTGGTGGTAGTAAATTTGACCATTTCTTCAGTGCTTTATTAGTACATTTTCACAACTGATTTTCTATATCGGCGCTTAGCACGTGTAGTACGCACGTTGCTGGAATTTTGTTATTTAAACCGCTAAATCACACAGCTCCCCGATGGTGCCGAACGAGAAAAGCTTCCCCCGAGGCGGGACAATCCACGCCGAGGCCAAAACCACCGACATCAGCTCAAATATCGTGAGTTTGGCCAGTGAAATTGCCGAAATCTGTGTACATACTTTTCTGCCCCACAGGTTTTTGGAGCCTCACAGAAGAAGGTGAAAAAGGCCCCAAAAGTGAAGGACAACCTTTTGAGTGATCCAAGCGAGGAGCAAAATGACCAACTGGAGGCGTTCTCCGCGGAAACCCTCAACATGGACACGCTGCAGGAGGACATGCTGGTCATGGGAGTGGTCAAGGAGGCGAGCGCCACCGCGCTACAGATCGCCCTACCAGGCAGGATGTTCGCCCGACCCTGGTGGCGGACATCTCGGAGGCCTACACCCGCGTGGCCAAGGCGGCCATGTCGGGGGACACCAGCGAATACCACGATCTCGCCGAGCTTTTCCAAGTGGGCCGTATGTCTACGGAAAGGCCATCAAAACAGAGAAGCTGGGATGCGGCCGATCAGCCTTTGCTCTCCCTGAAGCCCGCCGATGTCCATGGCAGTCTGCATCACAAGAGCATCAAGAAGGGATTCATATTCTCTGGCGCCGTGGCGGAAATCCAGGAGCACGGCTATGTCATAGAGTCTGGAGTGCAGGGACTACAGGCCTTTGTGCCTTGCGAGGAGCCGGCACAAACGCTTCATGTCGGCCAACTGGCCTTCCTGAAGGTCAAAAAGATCCAGCATGACACCCACCAGAGCACATGCACCTGTGTCCAGGTGGAGCAGGACCAGCTGCGCATCAAAAGCCAGAACGAGACGAATCTCGACTACATCCTGCCGGGCAGCATTGTCAGGTTCAAGGTGGCAAGCACCTAAGGATGGCCTAAAGGGAGCATCATGAACGAATCCTTCAGCGCCTACATCAACGAGCACCACCTGGCCAACCCTTTGGAACCCTGATGCCTACGAACTGAATGAGGACTACAATGCCAGGGTGCTCTACGTGATGCCCCTCACCAAACTGGTGTACTTAACCCTCAATCTGGATATTAAAGCAGGAGATGAAGTGGGCAAGGATCAGGATGAGGAGGGCAGGAGGAAGAGTCCCTCAAGGTGGGCTCCGTGGTGGAAAAGGCCAAGGTCTTGCGCCTGGGCAGCGGAGGAGTGGTACTGTTGCTCAACAAGAAGCTCAAGGGCCTCATCTCGTACGGATCCATCAGGTCCAATTTTAAGGGCAACTATGACAAGACGAAGTGCTGTCCAAATATGGACGGAAAACAAAGCACAAAGTGCGCATCTGGGCTACGATGTCATCGAGTCCTTGTACTACTGCTCAGACGATCCCAACGTGGTCAACGAGAAGCTCTACTGCCTAGAGGACATTAAAGCCGGCGACGTGGTCACAGCGAAGATTTTCAAGAAGGACGACAAGATTAAGGGCTGGTCGGTGAAGATCGGCAAGGTCAACGGAATACTGGAGCAGCTTTACCTGGCACCCAATGTCCGCTACGATGTGGGTCTCTCGGTGAGGTGCCGCGTCCTGGAGGTCAATGAGGAGCGCAAGGTCTGCTACCTTAGCAACCGTAGCGAGTACTTGGGCAAGGGAATTAAGCTGCTTACTGATTATTCAGCCGCACATGCTGGAAACGTATATACTGGCACTGTGGTACGCTGTGAGGACAACTACGTACTCGTCAAGTTCGGCAATGGCATCAAGGGAGTTCTGCACAGGCAGAATCTGAAGGAGCAGAGCTCCTTCTTCGAGGGACAGACCACAAAGTTCCGCATTCTGAGCCGCACCAAGGATCAAATCACTTTGACCCTGCCGGAGGACAAGTTCCAGCTGGGCGAGATCTGTCCGGTTGAGATAACCAATGCCTTGGACGCTGGACTGGAAATAAAAATCAGCTTGGCTGCCGATGATGATGAAGAGGACGAAGATGGCAATACCAAGGTGGAGGAGTACGTTGGTTTAATACCACTGCGCTTGCTTTCGGATCATCTGGAGTTGCTGCACGCTCACATGCGGATCCACCCCGCGGGTTCCCACACCGAGGCAGCCTGCATTATGCAGAACATTTTCAGCTTGCGCGATGTGGCCTACTTTAGTGGCCAGCTCACCAAGGACTGGCAATCGGTTCAAGTGGGAGACATAATCCGTTCCTATGTGAAGCATGCCACCGAGCAGGTGGTGGACCTAATGGTGTCCGTTCGCAACTACAACAAGCCGGTGAAGGTTCATGTTAAGATGCTGCGTCTGAATGCCGTGAAAAATGCGCCCGTGGAGCTGGTTCCAGAACAGTTGCTGCTGGTGAAGGTTCTCAGCAAGGAGGTGGAAACCAAAACGCTGACAGTGTCTGCCAAGCTGACGGATGTTTGGAGCGGGGACCTTGGTGATACTGCTAAACTGGTCGAGAGGTAAGTAAAATATTCATTCTTCTTAGTTTTTTAAAATTGAAATCCTTAAAATTCCATTACAGCTATCTTGATGAAGTGGCTCAGATAAAATCAGCGCTGGAGGAAACCTCTGCTCCCATTGCCAAATACTCTGTTGGTGACAAAATCGACGTGGTTTTCAAAGGCATCGATCCTACATCCCATGACTGGGTATACACAGTGGATGGCAATGCAAAATGTCCGCCCTGTTGCTCTCTAGTCTGGCAGGAACTGCAACAGCTCCCGAGGCGGGCAGCAAGCACCAGGTTGTAATTTTGTGGATCGACTATTCCAGCGATGTGCTGCTCATCAGCAACAAGAAGCACGACATTGCTCATATTTCGCAAAGCGGAGATCTACCCACGAATCTGGTCGGCAAGGCCGGCATGAAGGCCAAAGTTCTGTTGAAACTGGAGACCGTGGTAGTGTGCTCACTAAAGAAGGGCACAAATCCGTTGGTCATCTGTCCAGTTCGCTTGCACCCCAACGATGTGGAGAACTCTGGAAGTGCGGGCCTGCGTCAGGGCGATTTCTGCAACATAGCATTTATTCACGACAAACTGCCCATCGCAGTGCCAGAGACTGTTTGGCGTATCTGGAGGGGAGTAAAAAGAACAGCGGAGTCTGATGATACTCCTGTAAAAGCCAAGAAGTTAAAAACTGAAGAGTCGCCCAAACAGAAGAAGGTGACATTTAAGGAACCATTGGAACAAAAGGAGTCTCCGACGAAAAAGAAAGCCAAGGCGGAGGCCACACCCACCAAAAGAAAGGCTGAACAGGCAGAAATTCTCACCAATGGCAAAAAGAAGACTCAGCCCTTGACCAATGGCATTTTAAAAAAGTCACCCAAGCAGAATGGCAAGCTATTCTTCGAGGATAAAACTCCAGCCAAGAATGCCAAGTCAGAAACACCAAAAACCAATGGAACTGAAACCAAGACGCGATTGCCCGGTGTGTCCAGTTTCTGGGAGAGCGATCTGAACCAATCAAAGGAAGCTTCCAGCGACGAAGATGAGGAGGAGGATACAGCGGAAACCCAACAAAACGCAGCCAAGAAGAAACGTCTCAGCGCCAAGGAGAAAGCCAAGGCGGAGGTCAAGGAGGAGCAGCGACTGCGGGAGATCGAGGAGCGCAATGCTGATCCCAACGCACGTCTGGAGTCAATCGATCAATACGAGCGTCTAGTGATTGCCCATCCAAACAACAGCATATCCTGGCTGAAGTACATCGCCTTCCTGCTGTCCAACACGGAGATTGAAAAGGCTCGCGATTTGGCGCGAAGAGCCATTTCAACGATTTCCTTCCGGGAAACCCAGGAGCTGAGGAACATTTGGAGCGCCTTGCTCAACATGGAGCTCGTCTACAGCGACAATTTCGATGAAGTGCTCAAGGAAGCTCTGAATTGCAACGATCCTTTGGAAATCTACATAAATGTTGTAGAAATCCTTAAGAAAAACAAGAAAAAGGAGCGTCTCTCATCCGTGCTGACTACCATCCTTAACAAGTTTAAGGCGGAGCTAAGGGTATGGCCCTTGGCTGCCGAGGCCTACTTCTGGCTGGGAAAGTCTGACCAAGTCCACAATCTGCTCCAGCGCGCTCTGCGAGGGCTGCCAAATCAAGAGCGTAAGTTTGTTGATTCGTAATTGAATCTTGGATTGTATTTAAACTGGGAATTTCCATTTCAGACATCCCCTGCATTGTGTCATTTGCCAAGCTTTTTGCGAAACACGATAATAATGACATGGCCCAGACATTGCTCGACGGTGTGGTCACTTCCTATCCCAAGAGAATCGACATTTGGTCCGTGTATGTGGACATGCTGATCAAGGCGGGACAAATCGATACAGCGAGGTTAGTCTGGTACCCCTTCGTATTTAATAATTCGTACTAAGGATTTTGTCCTAACCGATTTTTCAGAAATGTTTTGGAGCGTGCCGTGCTGCAAAAACTGAAGCCAACCAAAATGCAAGTAATCTATAAGAAGTATCTGCAGTTGGAGGAGAACCACGGCACGGAGGCCACGGCTGCCAAAGTCAAGCACCAGGCCGAGCAGTGGGTAAAGAACTACGAAAAGTCCATCAAGTAGTTCTGTGCTAGCCCCCCATTATAGATCGTAATTTAGAATTAACAT